CATGGCTCTTTTTCAGCTCCGATGGTCGTGTTTTGTTTTCAACATTTCAAGGATTGTTATTCTTATTGTCATTGATCTTATTTCCATTCATGGTTGCTGCCATCGATTGGTTGCCATAAACTCTCATGGATATCCGTATGCCCAGCATAGTACCATGATGAAGCCATATGTTACTTTCCGTACTTAGGGGGGGGGGGGTACCCCAATATAGACCCCACGATATTATGATCTGTATTATTGGGATCCGATACAATTATTACCCTGAATATGGGAGGCCCTAAGCCCTAAATAGCAACTTCCATTTTATTTTCCATTATCCCTATATCATCCTATATACCCCCTCATAGAACCCGATATACCTCCTTTTTAGAACCCTATATACCCCGATATAAACCCTAGAAGCCCTAAACCCTAAGCCCTAAACCCTAAACCCAAAACCCTAAATCTAACTTAAGCCCCCGATGTATGAAGTTTCTGAGGTCAGCATTGCTTAGCCGGAGAGCCGAATCAGGCCTTGACCTGGTTTAGGGTTTAGGGTTTAGGGGTTAGGGTTTAGGGTTTAGGGTTTAGGGGTTAGGGTTTAGGGTTTAGGCTTGAGATGAGGATGTTTTCTCAAAAAGGTTTCGGGTGTGGATCACCCTAAACCCTAGACGGCCCTTAAACCGAGGAAGATGTAGGATTTGATAAGAACCTCTACAGACACGTAGGGATTATAAGTCGGGGCGCTTTGAGGCCCCTACCAGGAATTCTATGTGAGGATATGTGGTGTTGGTGGTGTTCTTTAAGGGTTTAGGGTTTAGGGTGTAGGGTTTTCAGAAGCTTCCACATGTCCGGTGTCCCAAAGCGGCCGGACCTGGACGACAGAGCGGTGGACCGAAGTTCTAATAGGTTCTTAGCCAGTCTCCCACAGAAATTGGGGTTATAATGGGATAATATCCGGGCTATAACGGGATAGTATTGGGGTTATAGTGGGATAATATCCGGTTATAACGGGATAGTATTGGGGTTACAATGGGATAATATTGGGGTTAGAATGGGACAATATTGGAATTGTACTGTGATAATGGAAAAGAAAATGAAAACTACTATCTAGCTTAGGGTTTAGGGTATAGACGCGCATGGTCCAGCACTTGAGCAAAGTGTCCTTGTTCAAAGAGTGATGTAGGAACTGAAGGGATCATCTGCGTTATGTTGCGGGTGTTTCTCACCCCTAATCCCATTACCCTCCACATAGATCCCTCGGGTCCAGAAGGGTACACCTCCTCTTTTGAGAAACGCAACCACAACGGAAAAAAAGGTAGACACCACACTCTATGTATAAATTGTGTATGCTTGTGTTAGTTTCTATAAAAAGGGGATCCTGAATATAGACTCAAAAATGAAAATCCGTGCGCATAGGCACCCTCCCACAAAGCACCCCCTAATTCAGGGGAATAGCCCTTATATCCCTATATAATCTTCATATTGCCCCTACATCCCTCCTTAATCCCTATATAACCATGACACTATCCACCCTAAGTCCTAAACCCTAAGCTCAGAACCCTAAACCCTTGAAACATAGGCCTCGCCGCTTGGGCAGACTCCGAAGAGGCAGAGGTTGCTCGGCCAGTTATTCGAGTCAGGGTTTAGGGTTGGGGTTTGGAGTTTAGGGTTTAGAGTTTGGGGTTTAGGGCCTAAGGTTTGGGGTTCAGGGTTTAGGGGTAGAATTTTGAGTTAGAGTCTGCGGTTTAGGGCGTAGGGTTTTAGGGTTTTGGCTTGGAGTCTCGGGTTAAGGGGGGTTTACGGAGGAATGTTGGGGATCAGAATGCAGGTGGAATATTCAATGAAGGTTTTGAGAAGGTCTCAGACGAAGCTGCTGCATGACATAAACCCCAAATCCAAAAAAATAAATCTTAAACCCTAAGCCCTTAACCCTAAACCTTACCCAGTCGTCTAGGCACGGCACAATGCGGACCTGATCGCAGAGGCGTGTGCGCAGCAGGATCATTGGCATCGCTGCCTTCTCAGCTGTGGGCCCAATCAATTTCAAGCACTATAACAGATAATGGAGACCCATGATTAATAAGCCCCCTCCTTTTAAGGGCCTTATTATTAGGATCGTTAGAACGATCGCTATTAAGGGGAGGGGGTTTATTAATCACGGGTCCGATTTACCACCAAAAATGGACACCATTTTTGGTTAGGGAAACAAGCCCCATGGTGTAGGTAACCAACAAGGGGACCGACCGATTCTACGGAAACTTCCATGTTCCAAGACGTTGATAATGTAGACCCGTGATTTATAAGCACCCTCTGCTTTACAGGGATTATAGTGGGGTTCCTAATATTATTAAGGCCTTTAAAAGGAGGGGTTTATAAATCACGGAGTTACATTATGATGATCGATTTTGCATGGCAGCTGCTGCTCAAGGTGTTTTGCTGAAGACCCACCTTACTGGCGCGTGCTTTGAGATGTGCTTTGCCCTTAGATCACGAGATCTGCAGTTCCACGTGATCAAGCCCTATACACCCTATAGATATTCCCAGTTTCCATTTCAATTTCCATGCTCTTTTCCGTGTGATTCTCCATTATTGAGGCAATATCCCCCATAGAATCCCTATGTAGCCCTATATGATCCCTATTGAATCCTTATGTAACCCTGCATAATCCCCCATAGAATCCCTATATAACCCTGTATGATCTCCATTTGCAATCATCGATGCCGAGGGTCCTCCACGCCCCTGCTCCGCCTGTTTCCAGAAGCCCCCCACATGCGCGCTATATGGCAAAAGTTTCCCAACACTGAGTTGCTGTTGAGGAACTTGAATGAAGTTACTATAATTAGGAAACCCATTGTTTGCTAGATACCCATATTATAGTAGTTTAAACCGTAAACCGTAAACCCTTGGCCCTTGACCCTAGAAACCTTAAACCCTATATACCCATGGTATGGTAACTTAACTTAAGTTCCTTTACATCTGGTTATCATTTACATATACCCATATTATGGTAACTTTAAGTTCCTTAACAGCAACACAGAAAATGCATCATCCTGTGCATCCCTCTGCGGCTAAGGCAAGGCTGCAGGGATCCCAGAAGCTTGTGGGTTTTTGGCAACCCACTTGGATGGTCAGGGGGACTTAGTAAGTAGGTTAATAACCCCCATAACCCATATAGTAACCCCAATTATCCCCGTTATTACCCTAGTTACTTAGTCCCCCTGAGCCTTCAAGCAGACCCCCAAAGGATCTAAGAATTAGATCCTCTAGAAAGCGATGGGAACCTCTAGAACCATATGGGAGACTATAAAAGGATTATATAGGGGTTATCATGGGTCTATATAGGGGATCTAGTTTTTCGGTTTTTGCAGGGGTCTGGGACATTTTTTCGTACCCAGCAGCCACGGGTTGAGGGCTACATGGAAAAGGACAGGGAAACTGCAATGACCGCTGGGATTATAGGGGTTTATGGTGACAATTGCTCTTCAGAGCTTCTTTGGACTGAAGACCGCATCGGATTCCACGTGTTGCGGAATTGCCAAGTCGCCCTAAACCCTAAAACCTAAAGGGACCCTAGACACCCTAAACCTTGTGATTCTCAGGTCGGATTGTACCCCAACTGCCCGCAGTGCAGCAGCTGGGCACTTACTACGTCCTTTCTCTTCCCTCTAGGGTTTAGGGTTTCTGGTCACTTGCATGCCATATGTTAGTTTCCTTACATTGGGGTAGCTTGTTATAGACCCCCAAAACTGCAATCCTCAGAACAGGGAGCCCCGCCCATGGAGCAGCACGCACTTGGCACGATCCCTAAACCTTAATCCGTAAAGCCTAAATCCTAAACCTAAACCTTAAACCTAAACCCTGCGCCTAAACCCCAAAACTTAAACCCTAAACCCAACCACTAAACCCTAAACCCTCAAAGCCTGAAAAACCCTGACCCCAAACCCTAAACCCCTAAACCCTAAACCCTATAGTAGTTTCCATTTTCTTTTCCATTATCCCTATATAACCCTATATTATCCCTCTAAACCCTCAACCCTAAATCCTGAGCCCCTAGCTGATTGCATTGCTAGGTGCAGCTGCATCTGCAGCAGCCGGCCATCCTGGGGAAGTGTCCATTCCAGGGTCAGCAACCGAAGCCTCGCCTCTTCCTCAGTGGCTTGGGGTTTAGGGTTTAGGGATATAGGGTGAAAGGTTTAGGGTTTAGGGTTTAAGGTTTAGGGTTTAGGGTTTAGGGATTAGGGTTTAAGGTTGAGGGTTTAGGGATTCGTGCTTAGGGTTCAGGGCCTAGGATTTATTGGGTGATAGAGGGTTATAAAGGGGGTATGTAGGGTATATAGGGGTTGTATAAGGATAATGAAAGAGAAAACGGAGGCTGCTCATTTGGGTTGGGTTTCCCAGAACTAGGGGCACCAGTTTGAGGGTCCCTACTATAATGAGGATATGAATATTTTTGGGTCTATATTCGTATCCCCTACTGCGCCGTTCCAAAAGTTCGACCCACTCTCTCAAACCAGCTAATTTGTCCAACTGGGCGCAGCAGGAACGACCCCTCCTCCCCGTAGACTCTTAACGCTGAGCCTAGGGGCCTCTGCTGGGACTAAATAGTATTATATTTTTAAACAGCGTATTAATTACTCCGCTAGAGGGCCAGTGAAAACGGCATGTGGGGCCCCTCCGCTACT